ATAAAATATGGAAAAGTATTGTAACAAAGTCAAGAAGGTACGAAATGAAACCTTCTTACATTCAATGCAGTGTCGAACAGTAAAACTGTTAATCCAATGAACCTGTTTAAGAGAAATAAGTGGACCATTGGCAGTGCTCTGAATTCAGTATTCAGTGCATCACTCAATAAAAATATAATAATACTATGTTTATTAAAAATATAATAATACTATGTTTACTATGTGTATTAAAATGACACGAAGTTTAACGAATTATTTGTGAAAAATCACCGTAAATGGATGAAAAATCATATACAGTTATAGCATACAGTTTAGAAAACCCACTCCTTGCCAGCAATATGAATAGAATCAAGTTGGAAAAAAAGTAAACATTCTTTTTGCCGATTCATGCAATGATACCAAAGTATGAAGCAAATGCATTATGCATGTAGTATTGTGCAGTGGTATTGCGTATGCATGAAGAATGGAAAACTATTAATAAAATAATTATTAGTAATTAAGTAACTAATCAGTGTTTAAAAAGATGTACTGTGTCGTGTATATAAATGGTTTTAGTAAAAAAGAATATGTAAATCCACATTACTGCTCGATGGAAACCGCGAGAAGGTGGTGGTTTCTTCCATTAGGAGGAGATGATAAACAAATGTCGAATGACTCACTTATGAAATGGAATTATTTGACATTGGTTTATATTTAAGAGATTTAACGCGTAAATCTGCCTTTCTCTGCCAACATCAAGTATCAGTGAAATAATCCCATTCAAGTAATGCCTCCAATTCTGCATCTTCGAAATCTTCTCTCTTCCACTCTTCCCTCTTCACTATGCCGATCTTCGACGTGAAAATCACCGTTCTTGAAGCGTTGAAGTATTTGAGAGCATTCGATGAGCTTCAGCTGCAGATTTCTTCATATTGAAGCAGAAAATTAAAACCTCCCTCAAATGAGGAGAATTTGGCTCGTAAACTGACATTTTCAATCGAGAATAACTTTATGATGCAGACACAAATCGATTAATGTTTCTGTGGGGTTATGTTGACAGATGCCCAAGTTTATTGCATGACGTCTATGATCTATTTATTTCGACCACTACTTACCGCTAAAGCCATCTATAGGAAAACGGCAGAAGCAAAGTTGTACACCTAATACACGACACAGTACATCTTTTTAAACACTGATTAGTTACTTAATTACTAATAATTACTTTATTAATAGTTTCTCATTCTTCATGCATGCACAATACCACTGCAGTACTATATGCATAATGCATTTGCTTTATACTTTGGAATCATCGCATGAATCGGCAAAAAGAGTGTTTACTCTTTTTCTAACCTAATTCTATCCACATTGCTAGCAAAGAGTGAGTTTTCTAAACTGTAAGCTATAACTGTACACGGTTTTTCATCCATTTACGGTGATTTTTCACAAATAATTCGTTAAAGTTCGTGTCATTTTAATACAAAGATAGTATTATTATATTTTTATTGAGTGGTGCACTGAACACTGAACTCAGAGCGCTGCCAATGGTCCATTTATTTCTCTTAAACAGGTTCATTGGATTAAGAGTTACGCTGTCCGACATTGCATCGAAAATATATGGGAAAACCGTTTTGCACAAACAAATGAATACATTCGAAGATATTATAATAGGCAAATAAGGCCTGGTCTACAATAGGTGTTGTAAGCTGTAAGCCGTAAGAACTGACCAATTATAGCTGATTATTTTTGTAATAATCGACTGTGATTCGCCAATTCTTACGGCTTACAACTTACGACACGTATTGTAGATCAGGCCTAAATCACCTTTTTATTAGATTCCATACTTATTAATGCACCGTACATCATTTTAAATATAATATTGTTCTGAGGGTTTTCTCATTCAGCGCAGCGAAACAGACATTTTATGAATTTTTTTTCGATCAGACAGAAGATTTTACGGATGTAATTGTTTTTGGGGATTGTTTAATACTGTTTGAAGAGTATTTGTTAATTCAGAGGATATTGTAATGAAAGCAAGAAAGTTTTATTAATATATTATAAATATTATTATAAACAATAATATTATTAATAATAAAATAATATTCATATTAATTTCGGCGCACCGAATAGGAAAACCTTCTCAGTATCGTCATAGTCGCGCCGGCGACTCAGATTGCAGCCGAGAAAAATCAGCCTAACTTGCATCACTGAGCGAAGACGAGAGCGAGAAAGAGGGAATAATATTCTCTCTCTCGCTCGGCGCGCCGACGGTTGCCGAGCGCGTGGCCCACACAGATAGACCGAGCCGGCTGTGTGTGCGTGCGTGGTAGGGGAAATTCGCTGGCAAACCCGTCACCGATTTCCCATCACTGCTCCCCCCATCCTCCTCTTTTTAACTCTTCATCCATATTATCCGCTACCAACAACGTAAACAAATTTGGGCTTATTGGACAGCCCTGCCTTACTCCCCTCATCGTCCAGAACCTTTCCCCCTGCTTTTCCCCCACTCTCACTCTACTGACTGTTTCTCTTAACAACTCTTCGCATCTTCTAATTATACCTTCGCTTACTCCCCTTCTCTTCATCGCTTCCATCAGCAACCCCCTGTCCACCGAGTCAAACGCCGCCTTCAGATCCAAAAATAACACCATCATCTTCCCCTGCTTATCTGTTTGCCTGTTCACTAAATAATTCACCACATATATGTTATCTATGGCTCCCACCCCTTTTCTGAAGCCCGTCTGACTCGGCGGCAACAACCCTTTTTCCTCTATTTCCTCCTTTAGCCTTTCTGCGAGAATTGTCGCGTATATCTTATACGCCATTTGCGTCAACGTCACTCCCCTGTAATCCTCCCTCTCTCCCCTCCCTCCTTCTTTAATATTAGCACAATAACTCCCTCTTTCCAATTCTACAGCCATCCTTTACCTTTCCACACCCTATCACAAATCTCCCATATCCACACTTTCACTTCTTCCCCTCCATATTTCCACACCTCATTTGGAATTCCATCCCCCTATCGCTTTCCCATCTTTTCGCCTTCTTATTACTCTTCTCACCTCTTTTCTTTCTATTCCCCCTCCTCTCCCCTTGCTTCTTCTCCTCCTCTCCCTCTGACCACCTTCCACTCCACTCCCCCTAATACCCTCCTAAAGTGCCTATCCCACTCCTCCATTTCTATTCCTTCGTTTATCCTCATCTTCTTCTTCCTATCCCTATTTACCACCTTCCATACTTGACTTTCCGTTCTTGCTCCCTCTATCTCCCTCATCTATTTCACTCTTTTCCTCTCTTTCTTTTCTTCACATAATTTTCTGTACCTTCTTTTTTTCTCTCTATATTTTTCCTTACTTCCTCCTTCCTTTCTCCCTCTTCTCAGCTCCCTTCTTACCTTCTTCCTCCCCTGTCTGCATTCCTCATCTCACCATCCTTTCCCCCCCTCCTTTTTCCTTTTCCCGTTTTCCCTCTCTCTCTCTCTCTCTCTCTCTCTCTCTCTCTCTCTCTCTCTCTCTCTCTCTCTCTCTCGCACCCTCTCCTCTCTCTCTCTCTCTCTCTCTCTCTCTCTCTCTCCTCTCTCTCTCTCTCTCTCTCTCTCTCTCTCTCTCTCTCACCCTCTCTCTCTTTCTCACTCACACACTCTCCCTCTCACACACTCTCTCTCTCCCATCCCCCCCTCTCTCTCTCTCTCTTCCTCTCCCCCCCTCAATCACTCTCTTTCTGTCTTTCTTTCGCACTTTCTCAATCTCTCTCACACTCTCTCACACACCCTCTCTCACACTTTCTCCCTCGCACTCTCACTCTCTCACACTCTCTCTCTCTCACAGTCGCTCTCTCACACTCTCGCCTCTTATTCTCCCCCTTCCCCCCCCCCTCTCTCTCTCTCGTTATAACACATCAATCAATAAGTCCCGGGACTAACCAACAGATGGCGCCTCTAATAACAAATCCATACCATTCTCAGTTAGTACCAACCTTTAAAAGAAGAAACCAAAGGTCGTTCTACACGACTGGCATAAAAAAGTTAGGAAGGCGTTGGAATGAATGTATCGCTCTTGAAGGAGACTATGTTGATGAATAAAGAAGAATTTTGGCAAACAAATGTTGTTTTAGTAGTTAGTCCCGGGACTTATTGATCGATGTGTTATTCCTCTCTCCCCCTTCCTTCTTCCTTTCTCTATCCATTTCTCTCCCACTCCCCTCCCCTCTCCCCCGCTTCCCGCCCCCTTCTCTCCCTTCCCACCTATCCTCCCCCCTTTATCGTTTTTCCCTCTTCCTCCTTTTTTGCCACTCTTCTATTCTTTTCCCTTTTTCCTTACCTCCTTCCGACCGCCTCTCCCTTATCTTTTCCTCCTCTTCTTCGTCCTAATACCACCACTTGTTCTCTATCCACAATCCTCTCTCTCCCCTCCTCACCATCTTTCCTTTCCCTCTCTCCTCCTCCATTATCCTCCTTAATCTCCACTTAACTTAACTTAACCACGTCATCCTTTTCTCTCTGAACGTTAGATCCTCCTCGATCCATATCATACTTCCTCTCAGTTTCCATTTATTTTCTAAGATTCTCTTTTTCTCTTCCTCTGTCTTTACCTTTACAATTAATATTTGCCCTTTCTCTTCTTTACTTGTATTTATTTTTCTCACTTCTTCAATCTCTACCTCTACTCCTATCTTTGCACAAATCCTCTCTATTCCCTTTCCAATGTCCTCCTTTTCCTCTCTCATTCCTTGAAATACTACATTCTTTCTCCTCTTTTCTCTTTCCTCCCTTTCCAATCCTTTCTCTACTCTGCTCAGCTTCTCCTCTACACCTTCCATCCCTTTATACCCTACCTCTCCTGCCCCGCCTTCCTTTATCTTGCTTATCGCTTCTTCTAAGCTAACTTCTCCCTCCCTCTCCCCCTTCTTCCTCTCCCGTCTTGTCTTACTTTCTTCTTCTAATCTCTCAATTCTTTCTAACATTCCCTTCCTCTCTTCCTCCCACCTTTCCCCCCCATCTCCATCTCCAATTTCATCTCCTCCAAATCTTTCTTTGCACTCCTCCATCCTTCTATCATTTCCCACATCATTTCCTTTAATTCTCCTTCCATTAACCCTTTCTCTTTCTCCCCCTGTCATGTTCCTTACCTCCTCTTTGTATTTTCTTATTTTCTCTCCTCCCCCCTCCCCTTCGTTCTTCCTCCTCATCGCTTCTAGCGTCCTCTCTCTTTCTCTTGACCTCTTGTCCTCTACTCTTCCCTCCTACACTCCCAGCACTTCCTACACTGCTTACACTTGCTCCACTTGCTCCACTCCCCACACTATCCGCCCTTCCCTATATGCACTTATTCCCAGAAACTCCCTTAATCCCTCCTGTTTTTCCGTTTTCCCTTTTCCTCCCTCCTTTTCCATTCTGCCCCTTTTATTCCTCTCCTCTCCTCCTTCCTTCTTTCTATCCTGTCTCTCTATTTCCTCTCACTTTCGCCTTACTTTAAAACCGACCTCTCTCCTATCCTAGCTCCCTCTCTATTGTCCCTCTATCTATGCCTCTCTGTATGCTCTGTCATCCACCTTCCTTCACACTTTTCTTCCTCTTTATGCTCTCTTCCTATCCTATGCCCTTTCTGTCCCTTACTCCTCCACCCTCCCCTCACCGCCCCTCACTCCTCCACCCACTCTCACCTCCACTCACTCTCTCCTTCCACACTTTTCTCTTTCGCTTTGCGTACCACTCTCACAGCGTATCACTCCTCTAACCTACCGGAAACGGAAGTCCGTGTTTCAATGTATAATACATTGTATAATACATTGACAACTAAGTGTGCCAATCGATTATGTTTCACTTTCTGTTGAGAACACAAAGCACAACTTTTTTAATTAAACTATATTTTAAAACGTAACAATTCAGAATATTTCTGAATTGTTACGTTTTAAAATACAGAATTTTCATTTACAATTAAGACACAAACGTGTACCATCCATCAAATTAACTTGCCTATCAGCTTCTTCGCATCTTCTCATAACTATTTCTCGTTTTATCGCATTATCGTCACCGTGACACCTCATAGAAGTCAAATGGTCAATTATTGGGGGTTGTCCCTATGGGAACTTTTTATCATAGAAACAAAATCTATAACATATCAAATATTCAGCCAATTTCACCTAAATCCAATTTACATAAGGAATTGTGCGGAGTCTTTTGCACATATTGTCCAGCAGCAGATTCTGTCGCCACAGCCATAGCTAAATGCGGATACAGATGACTACGTTTTTGATGTGAGTTTCTGATCGAACTTGCTGCCAATTTGTGTGCAATCTGCGCTCAATTTGCTTACCGGGTCTCAAATATTGCACAATGCCCCAATTCATTTTCGCACTTTTACGTGTAAAAGCGTTTGCAAATTCTGTGCAACTAATACGATGTAAATTTTACGTAGAAAAAAGTCAATGCTCTGTCAATTAAGTTTTCAAGTATGGTGTCCCCTTAAATGGTTAAAAAATTTCGCGCGATTGACGTTCGCACGGTACAAGATGTTAAAAAAAAGTAGAGAATACAAGGGCGGTGTATACTGCGTTATGTTGCGTCGTTATTAATAACCGGCGCCTATCTATCATCTACGACTACGAATTACTTATGAAGCTCGAGACTAGCATTGATTAATGGCCGCCCGATTCAAGCGCGGGACTTTTTACTCTTCAGCTTGAACCATCCCGCGCTTTTATTCGGATCACGCGGCACGGATGTGGATCTATTTAACTCAGGTTTAGAGCTGATGCCTCGCGACTTGGTGGCCAGTGATTCCGTCGAAACGGTCCTATCCACTTTCTGCTTGTCTTTCGATTTCAGTGTGTTGCGATTGATCGTGCCTGCAAAATGATTATTTATTAGAAACAGTCGTTTATTAATCATCACAACAAAAATGATGAATAGTCGTAATATTCGATTGATTGCATAATCGTATTCAAAAAATTTAGAATACGAATATATAATAATTGAACGTATTAAAATATACATCGTAATTACAAATTTTAACAAATGCTATTTCTATTAACAAAATGCAATCACATTATTATATCGAGAGTTCGGATAGACGTAATTATCATTTTTTACTTGAAACAGTTATTACAGTTGTAAACAAAATATATAAAACTGCCTAGATATATAATAATAACAATAACAATAACAATAACAAATATAATTAAATGTAATAAATATAATCATATATACATAATAATAATGATAATAATAAAATTATATATCAACTATAACAATAATAACAACGATGATAAAAACAATAGCATAGTAACTATTGCGTACTTAAGTATATTAAAGTATTAGTATTAATAAATATTTTATATTATGTTATGTAATATTATATTATGTAATATTTAAGTATACTAGAAAAAATAAGTAAGATAAGTTAAGCAATAGCAAGCTGAGGAGACGGACCATATGTACAGTAGTACCTCTCAAGTGACGAGAAATAAGATTGCTTTACAGGCAACCTATGATATAAACAGCAAAAAATATTAGGTGTACAAATGAATAATCCAATTTTTTTCAGTTACATTCAAGGTTTATTTTAAAAGAAAGTAAATTAAATTATTCAATCAAAGTATTCGCCGTTGCTTTCTATAATTTTAAGCCATCTTTCAGGCAACTGATGAATTCCATCTCGGAAAAATGTTACGTCTTTGGACACGATAAAGTCGTCAATTTTCGGATCTCATCCACTGATTGGAAGTGCATATCGGACAAAGCGTGTTGCATCGACCGGAACAAGTGATAATCTGATGGAGCAATGTCTGGTGAATACGTCGGGTGCTGCAAGACGTCCCAGCCAAGACTGATTATGGTGTCTTTTGTATTGGAAGCAATGTGTGACCTGGCGTTGTCATGCAACAATTTCACTGGATGTTCTCCTTTGCCAATATACGGACATTTTCGTTCCAATTCTTGACACAAGCAGATTAATTGACGTTAGTAGCAGTCCGCAGTAACTGTTTCACCCGGTTCCAACAACTCATAATAGCACGCCCTTGATATCCCACCAAATGCAGAGAACCTTCTTTCCGAAGCGATTGGGTTTTGCGACCGATTTTGATGATTCGCCGGGATTTACTTATAACTTTCTGCGTTTCGAATTGTCATAGAGTATCTATTTCTCATCGCCCGTAACGATTTTCCACAAGAAAAACTTTCGACGCTGCTTATTGAGAAGAGAAAGACACGCTGCTACTCATTGATTTTTGTTGGTTTCAGTGAATTCATGCGGAAGCCATTTTCCTTCTTTCTGGATTTTTCCCATCTCATGTAGGTGTTTGGAAATCATTTGCTGCGTTACTCCCAACTGTTCTGCAAGCTCTTTTTGTGTTTGTACCGAATTCTCAGCGAGCAGTTGTTCCAAATCATCATTATCGCACTTCGGAGGGCCTCCAGGGCGTTGTTTGTCGATTAGATTGAAATTACCGCTTTTAAACTGCTTCAACCAAAATGCGCACATCGTACGATACAACACCTTCGCCGAGAAAGGAACAAATCGATTCGCACGCTCTTGCAGCATTTTTTCCTTGTTGAAATTCGTAAAGAATGCAGTGTCGGATATGCACCTTATCTGTTGCCATTTTCGACTGTACTGAACTGAATACTTTTGAAGGTTATGTTGGGCCTTTCGCCAAACTATATGTTCTTTTTAATAGCTATATGTCAACATTGCATAATTACAAAAGAGCGGAAAAAGCTATTCAATTTAAAATTGATTTCATAACTGCTTAAAATAATTTGGATTATTCATTTGTACACCTAATACATATCTAATATTTTTCGATGCTCTATACGCATGCAAAATTTCATCAAAATCAGAGTAGGACACTTGGGTAGGTTTACTTGTAAGCACTAAACAAACATTTGTAAGACTGGAACACAATAATAAACGCACCTCAGAAATAATCACATATTACAATAAGATTAAATTTGGAATAAATTAAATTTGGATGTGGTTGACCAAATGGCGTGGAAATATACTATGAAAGCAGCATCTTTTCAGTGGCCTCTGGAAATATTCTTTAATATTTTAGATTTATCAACAATAAATATATGGATACTATATAAAGAATGTGCCAGATCAAAGATATTCAGAAAAGATTTTCTTTTTCAATTGGCCGAAGAACTTGCTGGCAAAAACAAGGAAAACGAACAAAACATTAATCTTCTGTTACCTAGTATTTCACAAGGACGTAAAACTTGCTAAGTCGGATATTGTAAAAGAAATAGAATAGCTTTTCCTGAATTTCAGGACCGATTGGTCTTCCGAGTCAAATATCTTAAGCATGGAAATTATAATAAAAAATCTGATGACATTTTTCTTATATAATGTTTATCTCGCGCGTAATTTGCAACAAGCCCGATCAAGAATGGTGTAGGAAATACAGAAATCTCGAAATCTCACTTGCAAAAAGGTCCTTTTCTTCGCTAATAATTTCAGATTCAGATCTCACATATACGCACACAAGCAAAGCGAGTTTATCCGACATCAAGCTGCGTTTGCATTGCCATGCGATGTTAGCTTCAGATTACACATACCAAACCAAAAAATATAAAAAAAGAAAAACATACCAAACCTAAATGTACCAAAATAAAACGTATTACAACAAAAATATAGCTATGATATAACAACACAAAAAGTACAAAACGAACAGTACCAAAACAAAAAATATCAAAAGGAAAAGTATCAAGACAAAAAGTACCAAACCAAAAAATATGAAAAAAACATACCAAAACTAAACGTACCAATAAGTTGTTTTGTTTTATTCAATATGTTAAAGCACATATCATTTTAAGTTTTTCTTTTGATTGATTATAATTTTATTCTTAATATTATTATGAATATTAATATTGATTAATTTTATTCTTAATATTATTATAAATATATTATAAGAAATACTGTATATTTTCTTGTTAATATCTAATATTATTTCGTTGAACCATTTTTTATAAATTTAAAATGATTCCTGTAAGACGCAGAAGTTACATGAGTTAACATATTAAACCTTTTAGATAAGTGGTCTGTTCTTTTTAGCTGCACTACTGAACTGGTGCAATAAGTTAAAGTGAGAAAAAATATAGTTGTCTCATTCTAACTTATTGCACTAGTTCCGCAGTGCAGCTGAAAAGAACAGACCAATTGAGAACTAAAAAACACAACACAAAAATAGCATGATACTTAGGTTGCGTTCGGAGAACTCATTATTAACGCTATCATTCCGTCCTTATTATATTTCTAAAGAGCGATAAAGATAGAATAGATGTGATAGTTTGTGATAGTAGTGCGTTTCCCTAACGCATCCTTGATATTATTATCTCGCTTTCATAATTCAGATCTGTTTTAGCTACTGATATACACATAATCCATTAAATAACAAACCGGGAAAAAAGTTCATATACGGCCATTATATAATCATATATAATTATATATGTTCACATCGAAAAGTATGCTGTTATAGATTAAAGTAAATAAATAAAGTAAGTAAAACATTTAAAATAAATATTTACATTTGTGATAGTCCATAATATCGACGTTTATTTATATCAAATTATGTTTTCCTTTTTTTATTCAACAGTACTTTTTTTCGCGTGTGGACATATATAATTAGATATAGACTTACATGATTAGACATGGACATTTACAATTAGATATGATATATCCATATATGGACAAAATTTATATATAATTATGCATAATCATATATAATTTTATATAATTATATGATATATAAACTTTTTCCCAAGAAAATGAAATTGTTTTTAATAAAACTTGTTATATCTCAAAATTTTAAAGAATTTTATATGACATAAAACTTTATATATATCTTAAAATTATAAGTTTTTTAATGATATAACTTATTTCATCAACGCAAATTAATTTAATAGACCGATGTTTTGCTTTTAAGCATACCTGCAATATCTATAGATTATTTCTTGATAGAGAATCAAATCATGCATGGAACATTCTATGAATATATATAGGAATAATCATGAAGAATATTATTAGGATAGTGTACTTTTGAAAACACAAGAACATTCTTAAAATATTGATTTTCTTAAACAAACCTTCTAAAAATATTTAAATCTTCGTAGTTGAAGATCGGCAGATATTCCATGAATGAATTTGTGCTGACTGGGTGTATAAGAAATGTCCATAAACCTAGTGTTAATAACACCTTTAGCAAGACCTGTTAAAAGAGTAGAGCAATTATTTAATGAATCGCAAATCCGCACCAAAAATACAGTAGAGAAATGTTAAGGAGTTTAGGAAAGGAGATTTTCGATTTTAGCACTGGGTATTAGATTAAAATTGGATAGAGTGGAAGCTATCATTGTAGCAACAACTGTAATTCATAATATTGCTTGCGAAAAGAATGAGGAAATTCCACCAATAAATGAAGAAGTTAAAGTAGCTCCTTACAAAAATATTTCACCGTTTTTATCCTTATATTGCCCGTTTTTTATCTGTTTCTTCAATTTATGTCCGTTTCTTGCACTCTCAAGCCCGCGCAGCGTAAAGCGAAAAATTATGACGAGTATACGCGAATATACGCGAGTATGCATGAGTATTTTTAAGCAGATTGCCCGTTTTTAACATTCTTTTTTCAGCTGATGAGTGGCTGCATGTTAATACATACCTCTTTTACTCAAGACATTAAAATAAATTGAGTAAAAATGTACGTATTAACGTGCTGTTACTCGCGGCTGACAAAAGAGTATTAAAGACGGGCAATCTGCTTAAAAATACATTTTATGGTACGTTTTTACTACTCGGCAATCCGTTTTCACCACTCACTGTTTAAGTAAAAGTGCCCCTTTCCGA